GGAGACGGGGAACGACGAAGACGACGAGGGACAACGGAGACGGAGACGACGAGGACACGACGGAGACGACGACGACGACGACGACGACGGTGATCCACGCAAGACGACGACACCGGGATGCGTCTTCCACACGCCGACAGGGTCGGCGGATTTGTAGCATATTCGCTTCTTCGGTCCTTACAGCGTCCAAGACGACCCAAGAGGCCCCCAAGATCGCCCCAAGACGATCCAAGAGGCCCCCAAGAGGACCCGAGGGCTTCAATGCGGCCCAAAAGAGCCCCAAGACGGCCTGAAACAGGCCCTAGAGGGTCTCAAAAGGGTCCGAAGGGAGGGCCCAACGATTGCCCAAGCCCCCAAGGACGGCTCAAGAGGGCCCCAGGACGGCCTGAGAGGGCCCTCAGCCAGCCCAAAAGGGCTCCAAAAGGACACCCGAGAAGGCCCAAGAGGCACTTCAAGACTCCCAACATGCTTCCGAAAGGCCCCCAGAAACCCAGAAAGCTTCCCAGCAGGCTCCCAGAAGTGTATGGGAGGTCTCGTGTCTGCGTCCTGCACGGCGTTCCCAGAGGCCTCCAGAGGCCCCCAATTCACGAGCCATGCAAGGCTTCCAGAGGCCCCGACGGGCACCCAAGACGCCCAGAACTCACGAGCCAGGCCAGCGGTGTGCCGCCATGGCGGCACGACGGCCCTGGCGCCATGACCACGACCCCCCTTGCGGTCATGTCTGTGTCCCCGCCTCATTGGGCGGCCGCCGCTTTATCCCCCGAGGCAGCTCATTTCTACCCGCTTCGGCGACCTGTAGGCCAGTCGGCCTCATGAGCGCCAAGGCCCCTTAAAGGCTCATTCAAGTCTGAGACCCTCCCTAAAAGCGTCCAAACAACAGCCACCTCCAAACCGAGCGTACGTCGGTCGGTTGCTACTCGTCCTCCTCATCCGCTTCCTGCTCTGCATCTTCTGCTCCACCTCATACTTCGTCATCGTCTTCCATGTTCGCCCAATCGTCATCGGCCAGCTGTAGGCCAGTCGGCGCCGTGAACGCCAATTCCCCCTACGGCCCACTCAAGCCTCAGACCCTCCCTAAAGGCGTCCAAACAACATCCAGGCCACCTCCAAAACGAGCGGACACTAGTCATCGTCATCGTCTTCCACCAGCCACGAAACGACCAAGAGGACCGCGAAGATGTACACATTCACGATCCATCAAGACCTGTTGATGGATTCGGATTTGGTGCACGCGGGCCCCAAAAAGCCCCAGAGGCTTCAAGAGGCCCTCAGACGACGCAGAGGCGCCAAAGGCACGTAAGGCCTTTTGAAACGACGAAGAACTTTTCATTGCGCTTCCCGCTTCTCACGGTGGGGTTCGCCACCCCTTCTCCGAACTTTCTCACATCAGCGTTGCCCCCTCGTCGCGCCGACCCCTGCCCCTCTTCAACGACCCTCACATCCACCCCGCTCCCAACGCCCGCGGTCCCCACTCGCACCCGTGGTTATAGTTTTTCGGCCTCGTGACCTTTACACACCTCGCGGTCATTACATGAGTTCTCTCGCTCGCGGAAGCGCATTCCGTCATAGCTTTTCCCCCTTCTGGCGATTACGGGACCGTTTGTCTCGTCGTGCTTGTCCTGGTCGTTATCATCCTCCTTCTCTTCTTCGCCCTTGAGCCGTCCTGACTGCGGATCATTCGTTTTTGTTTTTACTCCGTTGACGCTCACGGCATCGCGCCTTGAACGTCACGACCGCAATCCCCTCGTGGTCGCCACCTCCTCCCACCTCGCATGCGTGACGTTGGCCCTGTCACGCCGGTGCCCTCTCTCCCAAATCAAAGATGCATGTGGCCCGTTCTGGGATTATGACCGTGGACCCCCTTCGTGGTCATCATCAGCTCTCACCAATCATCCATTCACCGAATGGTCGGGAGTGCATGGGCGCGGGGCACAGGTTGAGGCGAAGCGAAGCGAACTCTCGAATCTTGTATATAATTTTGGATGCGTGTGTCTGTATATGTATATATATATATGTATATACATATATGAAAATATGTATTGCCACCGCCTGCTGAGACCCCAGGACGTCGTTTTTCATGCGGTGGATATGAATAAATCCCCGCCGCGCAAGCCGTACGTCGGGCGTGTCCCCCTACACGGGGATGTTCGACGAAAATATAAAATACCACAAAAATGCCCCCCAAAGGCCAGAAAATACTAAAACATAGTCCCCAGACTATTTTTGGATTATTGTTTGATTATTTTTGGGGTATTTTCTATTTTTCGTAGAAAATCCCCCTGTAGGGGGACAGGCCCGACTTAACGCAAGCTTGATATTCGGGGACTGGCGCGCGTTCTGAGCCGGCTTGCCGAATGCAGCGCGCTCGCGCATGGCCCCACTTCCGTCGACCTGGGCGAGCTAGAAAGACACCGCGGCCGCGCGCGGGCGCCAGCGGCACTTCGAGGGCATCCCGACGCGGCGCTGCGGCGAGAGCACCACTTGGCCTGCCTCCCCGCGGCCAAATTTTCCCCAGGGGCGCAGCGAACCTCAGAGGAGGGAGAGGTACCCACACCTCTGCCCTTCTCTCGTTTCCCCTTTGTTGGGCCTCCTGAGAGGGCCTCGTCGCCACCGCCGGATGCGCTGCGAACTCTTGGACAGAAGGCACCCCGAGAGAGAGGTCCGGGGAGGAGCCGTATCGGTACCTTTCCTTGGTCCCCCCCGGCACGAAGCATGCGCCGCGCCGAAGCAGCACCGCCACCTTCTCTCGCAGTCTGCGCGGCGCTCCCGCGAGAACGTGCCGCCTGCTCTCGCGCGGCCCCGCTGCCGCTCCCCCGCGCATCGGCGAGTGCTCTGGGGCGACCACCTGCGCGGGGCGTGGTCGAGGGCGGGCCCCGTCGCGCGCAGCCCCCCGCCCGCCAGGACCTGGACGAGCCAGACATCTGCGCCGAGCCCCAGGGGCCAGGGGGAGAGCGCCACTCTCGGGTGGAAGCTGCGCGGCGCCGCGGCGGGAGCTACGTCTCGCCCGCTCGCGCGTGACCCTGCAGGCGACGAGCCGGCGAGCGAAACGTGCGCGCCGCGCCTGGGACAAGAGCTCAATTCCCCAGAAAAAGAAGTGCGGTGCCGAGGCGAGACCTGCGTTTCGCCGTCCCGCGTGCGGTGTGCACTTCGTCTCATTCCCGCCGCGCATTTTGCCACGCCGACGACAAATCGCCGGTGCTGAAAAGAGGACGTCGGCTTTGTATTGATGTTGTGAGGTGTAGGGTTGAAGGGCCTGGATGGAGTTGCTATCGGTCTTCAAGGTGGCACAACGGGAGTCTGTACACGCGTGTACTCATAGATGTATTCATTCGAAATGCGCACTGCGAGTTAACAAGGCAACACGACATCCGAGGGGAGGTAGAGGGGGACGAGAGTGATGATGATGATGCGGGTTGCGATGATGATGATGATGATGATGATGATGATGCTGATGCTGATGCTGATGATGATGACGATGATGATGCGGCTGATGATGCTGCTGGTGATGATGCGGGTAATGCTGATGACGATGATTATGACGATGATGCGGATGATGCTGATGATGCTGCTGCCGATGATGATGATCATGCTGATGATGTTGATGATGAGTTTGATGAAGATGATTATGCTGATGATGCAGCGGATGGTGAGGATTGATGGTGATGCGGATGATGCGGATGATGATGATAAGGGTGGTGATGATGATGCTGATGATGATGATGACGATGATGATGATGATGATGATGATGATGATGATGATGATGATGATGATGATGATGATGATGATGATGATGTTGGTGATGATGATGCTGATGATGATGAGCATGATGCTGCTGCTGTTGATGATGATGCTGCTGCTGATGATGATGATGATGATGATGATGATGATCATGGTGGTGGTGGTGGTGGTGGTGGTGGTGGTGAGGAGGAGGAGGAGGAGGAGGAGGAGGGAGGAGCGAGAGGAGGAATATGGATTCGATGGGATTTGAGAGGAGGTGCTTGAGAGGAAGTGGGGGGGGGAGCAGGAGGGGGAGGAGGCAGATGATGACCCTCCGCGCAGCGTGTCTCCTCCCGAGGGGGTACCTGAGGTGCCCGACGTGAAGTCGCAGGACGTCGTGGTGGTCTCTGACACGGAGTTCAAGGCGCCCGGGCTTCTCGGCAGGGCCGTTCTAGCTCGAAGCTGGGCGCATGTGGTGCGTTCCAAGACTCAGAGGCCAGCAACAAATGTACGCGTACGCGGTTCGCTTCCCCTGGAGTGCGTGTCCACACGGACGTTCGTGCAGGCAAGACCGCGGAGGGCGTACATGTACATATGTCGTTGCCCGCCCAAAGACAGGGCCTCGCCTTCAAGTGATCGGTTTATTCTGCTCTCAGTGACGGCGACGCCCTCGCAGTTGGCTTCTTGCGACGTGATGCATGTCTTGATTCTGACAGTCGAGGTGTGACTGCTCGAACTCACCGCTGCAAGAGGGTGCACCGAGTCCTGCTGTGGAAGGCATGTGTCCTCTACCAGGGTGGATCGCCGTGCCCTGAGTTACAGCACCCTTCCGATTATCGCCTGTCGCTGCGCTCCAATGTTGCCGCAACCGCGCGCGCGAGCTAGGTGCTTTCCACGCTAGACGAGGCCACGCTCGTCGCGAACACACCTGGGAGGACCTTGGCTTTACCTTTGGTAGTCGCACGGCAGTTTTTGCCTTGAGCGGCTCTTGCTGCTCGGCCTTTTTGTATCGACTGCTCTGCAAAATCTTCGTTTTATTGGCAACGTGGTACATAGTGTGATGCAGGCGAGTGGGGGTGAGATTGCGCATGCACATTGGGTAGCCAGCAAGTGCTGAACGACAGTGCGTAGGACCGTCTCATTATAGAGAACTGATGTACCGAGCCCGCGTCGATGCGATGTGGGATACGCATGGGGAGGACAGTCGCAGCAGAGTGCTGATGTAACCAGCTCTCGGCGATACGATGCGGGAGGTCGCGCAGGAAACGCAAGCTTCAGGAAGATGCGCGAGGATGAGACTAATTTCATCAAGTACGACCTGAACGGTGCCAAGGTGCCGCGGTCAACGCGATCCCCCTCTCTGCTGTGAGTTCGCGCCATATTCAAGTCCAAGCAAGAGGTACAGCTTTCTGGGGCAGGGCGTGTGCGTGATCTTCCAAACAAAGTATAGTCCGAGAGGCGTCAGGCGTTACGCGCTTCTTGTCTTGTCGACAGCGGGTGGATGGCCGACGATAGCATATGCAAAGTTTCTTGACGGTAAGTCTCTCCCTCTCCTTCTCTCTATCTTTCTCTCCACTGCTTGCGTTTCTACTCCTGATGTGACAGGGGTGCCGTTCGCGAAGGCGGAGTCAGGACAGGTCATGGGCTCGTCGCGGTGCTCGCGCTCATGTTTGCCCTGTGCGCTTGTGATTGTGAGTGCGTGTGGGCCCGAGGTGCACTGACCACATCTGCTACACGCAGACTTGTCGTTGGTTTTCCCCTGCATTGCCTGAAAGTAGGGGTTGGAGGCGGGGCCACATTGAAGTACATCCATTCCCAGCTTGACAAATCTGTGGTGATCTTCAATGCACCATGTGCCATCGTCGCCAGATCCACGCTCATGCGTACGAGCTCGTTCATTCGGCGCTTGCCTTTCTGGGAGCGTATTTTTCGACAGAGCCTGGAGAGATGTTGTTTTGTTTTTGTATGCTGTTTTTTTTGGGGGGGGGGGGGAGGGCGGCACCGTGGGTCAACATCAGTTTTTCCTTTACGTGCATTAGCGAAATACCTTCAGCTGTCGCTCTTAGGGTATGCGGGCTGTTCTAACTACAGGCCAGGGCCCCGTGGGCATGCATCCCAGATATCATGCTCAGGATGTGTGACCGTTTTCACTCGTGCTGTCTTTGTTGATTGCATAGCAGTTCGTGGTCAGAGCGACTGTGTGTGGCCAGCGCGCTATCCAACACGTGGCCATGGACGCTTGCGGGCATTGCTCTTCACCTTCCACTGCCCAGCGCTTCATGCCTCTTCCCCCCCCCTTTTCCCCTCTTCACCCTGGTCCAGACGTTGCCCACGGCAAGGGCAGTCGGGACACTGACGTGGTTGTCTTCGGTCGCGTCGAGCTCCGACTGCCGCGAGAGGGGTCCTGGCCCTCTCCAGGGCCACGAGGACGACACAACGATGGTGGAAACGTCCTCTTGCGCTTCCCCACCCTCCTCCCCCTCCTCCTCCTCCTCCTCCTCCCCCTCCTCCTCCCGTGGAAGTTTCTAGAGCTCTCCCGAGGACCCTGGAGTTATCTGGCAGCCCTTGCAGGCCCCCGGAGGTTCCCAGAGACCGTGAGAGGGGTTCTTCTGGAGGCCCGAATCATTGCTTGCGAGCGTGAACCGCAAATAGTGTGTTAGTGCATTCTGCATGCGTATTATATTCGTTGCATTCTTTGAGGTGTAATCTACCTGGTGCAATCCATGTGGTGCAGGCTATATGGTGCAGCAATGTATTTGATACAAGCTATGTGGTGCGATACAGGTGACTCAAGCAATGTGGTGTAAGCTATGTGGTGCAAGCCATATGCTGCAAAACATGCCGTGCAAGCTATGTAGTGCAATTCGTCTTTGCCAATTCAGGAGTTGTCACCTCCAGTGCCCACCGAATCATTCCACCCTCCCACCCGCAATCTGTTTCGCAAACCCCATGCGGCCGCGATTGCGATGACTGCTTGGCCCTGGCTGGCTCATCTCTGCTGCCCGCAAGCTCGCGCGGAAAACGCCCAGCTAGTTTGACACAACTGAAGCGGCCGCGATGGCGCTTATCGTTGGCAACTTCACACCGCGTCTCAAGCCCACGCTGGCGCTCGGGCACTTCAATGCGGATCGGCGACTCGGGCGGGCTCGGTATCATGATGACGTCGACAATGGCGGCAACGATGATGATACTATCGATGGTGGTGGCGACGACGACGATGACGACGGCAAGGCCAATGACGGCGCCGATGCTGGTGACGACGACAACGATGAGGATTTCCAGGCTTGGGTGATGAAGGTGCTTGAGTGATGATGGCGGCAATGGCGGCGATTGTCGATGACGATGACGTGACGCGAAGCGCTGGCGCGGGTGACGGCGGGGAAGTGCGTGCGCGCGGAAATCCAAGAGCCCAGGCCATTTTGTATTCATTGCTATGAACTCAACTCTAGCATGCATCGTTTTTAAGTGTCATGTGTATGATATATATATGTATATGTGTATATAGGTATGATATATACAAGGGCCATCTATACGTTTATGTACGTGTATCTAGAACTCGCCTGTATATACGTTTTGCTTGTGTATATAGATATATAGCTATGTGTATATATATATATATATATACGTCAATTTCTTTTCAAGAGCTACATGTTTAGTGTTTCGAAAGCCCATGTTTTCGGAAGGGCTTCGACGCGCGCCCGCGGCGGCGCGCGCGTGGCCCGCATGGTACCTGACGGCCTTCGGCCCACCCGGCCCCCGTGCCCGGGCTGTGGGCAGGACGC